TGGAACGGGAGGTTATATTTCTCCCAGTCACCTCTCCTCGCATCTCGTGCTCCAATTTCCTGCTCTGTTTAAATTCTGAGTCTGAAGGGCTCCTTTCTTCCTTATGTTGCCCATATGCCAATGACTCCCAGGTTTGCTCTCTCCGGAGAGCTCTGGAATAAATTTCCTAAATGCGTTTTCAACACTCAACTTGGATATCTGATAAGCAGCTCAAACTTAAAGTGCACACAACCCGACTCTTCCCCCCGCAGCACACCTGTTTCTTTAATCTTCCCCAGCTCTGAAAATGGCACTACCACTGGCCTAATTCCTTGAACTGAAAATCCAGGAGTCACCTTTGATTTTCCTCTTTCCCATCTACCAAGTAATCCGTCCACTCTGCTTTCAAAATCCACACTGAATCCAGCCATTTCTCACCCCCTCCAGGAACATCATGATCTCTCACCTGGACAACAGCAATACTCTCCTATTGTCTATTGTTTCACTCTTTGAATGCTTGCTGGCCTTCTACATTCTAATCCCTTCACAAAAACCTCAATGATCTCCCAAAACACAAGACAATCTATGTCACTTCTGGATTCTAAACTGTCCAGTGGCACCTCCTCCAAATCCCGAGCATGGTTGGCAAGTCCTCTGGGATCTTCCCGACACCCACGTCTCTGTCTCCAACTTCCACCATGCTCTCCATTGTCTCTGAACGAGAGTCACGAGTGTTAAAGCGCTCGAGCTAGAGGTGGATTGAAGGGAGCAGCTGGATCGCCACGAGAAGCAGAAATAGAACACATTACCTAGTTCACTGAACCCCAAACAACCCTTGGAGCTAACTACTGTTCAGTAAATACTACTTGCTAAATGAGTAAATGCTGTTTAGTGTAGAGAAAGCAGCGGCTCCCATCAATCAAGGAACGTGTCCAATGTTGCTCCGATAAGGATAAGAAAAGCCAGGATTTAAATCCAGGTGTACCTGACCCTAGAGGCCCTGCTTTCTATGTCAGTTAGGGGAAAACTCTTGGTGAGCCCAGAGATCTCGCCAAGGCAACTTTCCTTAAGAGCCAGAGGCCTGGTCCAGCTGCCCTGCTGCAAGAGCGGGAGTCGGGGCTCTGATGTGACAAACACAGGGCTTTGGCATCCAGCTCCTGCAGCTGCCAGAGAGAATTAAACAAAGTGAATGAAAGCAAAGGAAAGGCAACAACGAAAATGCCAGCAGCAGCAGCAGCAGGAGGCAGGGCCCAATTACTACTGGTTGAAGTGCGAGGAAAAATTAAAGTTGGTGATGGTTCAAGGTTATGTTGAAATTCCAAAGCAGTGGGCTTGCATAACCATGAAACATGGAAATAAAGTATTACTGATGTTCACACTGTTTATTTCAGGACCTCACTTTCCGTCCCACTTTGTCTCAACAAGTCTCAATTCAGTGGCACGCTAACCGCCGCAGAGAGAGGAAAAAAGATGGAGATGCGTGTGGTGTCTATTAAAAATGTAAATAAATTAGGAATAGGAAAAATATCTGGTCATGCTCATTCATAGTAGATAAAGCACACACAATTATATAACATTGTCCAACCTTACACATTGCCGTCATATAATTTAACTTACAAAAAAATTCTCAAAGGCACATTGGGGATTTGGGTCATTGCCCAGATTCTCTGATGGGTTCAGAACCTCAGAACTAACTTCCTGCCATTTAAGGTGAACAGAGAAGCTCTGCTCCCATTTAGCTTCTATCTCTTCTTCCATCCTTTCATTTTCCCCATATCCTTTCTGTTTCTGTCTGTCGTCCCACTCTCCCTGGCCAGCTGTGTGTTTGGCTCCCTACTGCAGTGGCACAGTTATTATAGGTTCTTTTTTATAGGGGAAGAGTGGAAGAGAAAAGAAACCTATTCTGCCCCCGGGATGTGGGATCAATGAGACAATTCTTTCGCACTGCCTAGGTTAATTATTCTGTTGGCGTTATGCAAGAGTCTGCACCCTTCTCATAGTCTCATCTGGTATGTGTTCCAACCTGATGGAAGAAACGATGAGCAAAACCCAAAAACACTGACACCTGCAACAGGTATGGCAAAAGGTACAGTGGGTCGATGGTGAAAGAAAACTCAGCCCTGAGTGTAGTCAGGTGTATATACAAAATAATTTTAACATTATTTGGAATTGATCAGAGTAGTTACGATTAACAACATAATCAAATCAAGTACTAGGTAAGAAATAACTCTGATAGTTTGCCTGGAGGCTTTCAGGAAAGTTTTTAACACAAGGATATGACATTTGAACTGAATCGCACCTCTAGCCCTTAGTATAAGCAATTTTTTCCTGCCTGGAGCATCCATGCCCCACCTCTCTCATCACTGCGTGATTGACAACCATTCAGGTGTTAACCAAAGTGTTTACTAATTACAGAAATCTTCATGTTCACACCTTCTGTGATGATAAACTCCACCATTCTCTATCACAGCACCCTCTTCATCTGCTTCCTCGAGGTAATCACTTTCTTTATGCATGTATGTATTATGTCACTTTTTTATATTCATTCATGTATTGCCTGTTTTCCTATCTTGAATGTAAGCTCCACAGACGCAGGAATCTGAGTCTTATACAGTATTATATTCCTGGCACCTCGTCTCATGTCTGGGACACAGCAGGCACTGCATAAATAGTTATTGACTAAGTAAAATGTAACATCCTTACTTGTTTATAGGTCTATCGTCTCCATTAGATGGTGAACCCCTAAGTGAACCCTGTTGTAGTCATTTTGCAATTTCTTTTACGTATGGCAATTCCTGCTCTCTCACACATGGCAGGTGTTCAGTAAGTTCTTTAGGCATAAATGAATAAATACACTGTTACTTATTTTTCCTTTATCCACTACTTTTTGGGGGGAGGAAGGTAAAGAAATTCTAAACTTTTTTTTAACTTAAAAAGTTTAAGGAAAAAAATAAGTTGTGCTACTCCAAGTTGAGCAAAAATGTTCTTCTATCTCACAGGGAGAGAAACAAAGAAAACCTCTGGGACCACTTTCTACATTTGTTTGGGGACAAGGTAGTGACAAGATGAAATATTCAAGAATGTGACCACTAAACAGAACCCTGTTGAAAATGTTTTGATTTTTCTCCTTGGACATATCTTGGTAGGTTAGCAGTTTACAAGGGGACAAGAGATGACATGTCCTCCCTGCCAATGTTTGGTACATTCCCTTGGCCTCAAATGCGGAAAACATCTTGAATTTATTCCTTGATGTCCCAATTTTAAGTTGACTTTGTGAGGTCCCTGGAAAGGCAAGTCTATTAGCATGAAGATGAACTGAGAACCAATGAAGCACTGTCTGATTTAAATATATATCTTTGGAGTCATTATTAAGGCGAGTATCCATTGTATCACAATTATTAAAATTATTGAACCAGTGGGGTCTGCATTTAGGAGATGAACTGAACTTGATGTAGAAAAACAGTTAATATTAACAATGCGAGTTTAGTGAAGCACAGGAAAGTCAATGAGAAAAGCAGAAGTCACATCAGATGATAGACATACATACACATGCAGCAGATCTAGGGAAAAGATTGGCCATTGGACATGGTAGAGTCAGATTTAAATATTCTGTCTACCCTGGTCACATGACCCACTATTACTCAGCACGCACTCTACGCCCATCACCAGGGCAATTATAACTTACTGTATACACTGGCTTAGACACCTTTTATCCTTGCTAAACTAAGAGTTCCTTAAGAACTAGAGGCAAGCCTTTGAATCCTAACACCTGACATAGGAACATAATAAAGGTGTGTAATGCAGGTTCAATCAGCCTCGTCAGACAATTAACTGGTTGGTTGAACAGCTCATTCAAAGTGCTGTACATCATGCAAATGTAAAGAGCTCCGTGAAAGCAGCTATCTCTGTTTTGTCCATGTCTGATTCTAGGGCACCTAAAACACTCTAGAAGCTGTTACTGGTGAGCACATATGGTCACTCATGTCTGTGTAGGGTAGACGGGGTCTCTACAGACAAAATTTTATCCACAGAGTGAGTATCCTGCAGGTATCTCAAGGATGCTTAGGGCTGCGGGAGGTACCCACAGAGGCTACTTAATGCACACTCTCAGGTCTTGGTCACAGGAGAGCAGATACTGACTTTGTACCCAGATCCCCCCTTTGCTTGTCCCTTTTGCTGGTGAGGAGTGAACTTCAGTAACAAGCCATGGGGAGTGGATCTTCCTTGATGAGCAGATTAAGAAGCAATAGAGTTGTTTGGCCTCCAACCGATAAACAAAGTTTACTTATCTAGGATGGAATTTTATTTGTACGTCAAGATCTACCGAGCCAGGGTACTGGGGCCATGTGAGAAAGGAGAAAAAAAAACACCCAACCACCATAACACTGGCAGCAAAACACATTTTCACAGGTTAGCAATAGAGCGAGACATTTTTCATTCTTGCCTCAAAGTTCTGGCACCACCAAGGGACAATTTTCTGAAGGACAGAAGGGGAGAGGGAAGAAGAGGGTGACAATATGGAGGTGGGGTGACCGTAAACCCTAGAAGAGGCTGAATACTGCTGGATGCCACTCGGGGGCCTGATGTTTTTAAGGGGTCCTTAAGCTGGGTTTCTTGCTTGCTTCCTGTGTCCGTTTCTTTCTTTCCTTTTTAACTGAAAGGCATATTTTCCTATCCGTTAAGATTTATGGTTTTCTGCCAACTACTTCGCTGGAACAAGTTTTCCCTTTAATTTAACGACGCACCTATTAGAGTGTAACATACCCATAAAAACTTCTTTTCAGATAGTGCTCACAAAATGCATTTCTTTAGGACTCAAAGACGAATAGAAATATAGTCTATGCAGTTTGGAACCAAGTAGCTCCCACTTATTTATACAAGGGTATGTCCGGGCCACCGTCATGTCACAAGAAGGTCACGTGCAACGAATTCAACATCTCCAGGTTCTACCAACCACATGATCCAAGGGTTTTCATGAACAATAAGACTGTCACTAATTTTTCTGGCGCATTTTATCTTACCCGTTAGCTGGGCTCCAAGAAGTTTTTCATCTTCATTTCCCCATCGCTGCCAGACCCGTGGACTTTGTGGCATTTGCCATAGCACACTAGAAAAAATGAAGGATTAAAAAAGAGATTTTAAAAGAGAGAAAACTTCTTAATCATGCTTTCATAACTTTTAGTGAACAGTTGGTTTAAATTTCCAAATAACTCTTTTCCAAAGGATAGTATCAAAACACATGCAAAAAATAAAAGTCTAAATAAAGCACAATAAATTATTTCACTGCTAAGGGATTAGATTTCAAAGAGAGAAGTACACATAAGGATATGAGAGTGGACTATATTGGATCTTTGGGAATTGCTGTCAGATATTGATGAAAACAGAGAGACTGTAGGAGATCAGATAAAAGAGAGAAATGATTACTTTTGGAAGAACAATGTGAAATTCGTGGCCAACAGAGATTTCAGATGTAAGCTAATAGCAATCCACGAAAGAACAAAGTTGGAGCGAGTCCCACATCTTTAACCACATTTACAATCATTCACCATCTGTAAAAATTTTTACATAGCATTTTCCCTCATTTCAAAATTTGCAAAATACATATTTAATAGGTTTAGCATGTCAGTCAGTAATTTCGTCCACAGGCAGTGAAAAGGATTTGTGTGTGTGTTTTTGAAATGAGTTGGGTTTTGCTGCCCTTTCAGCCCTGGCTCCAGCCAGCTGCAATCACAGGCTGGTTCACAGCCCGGCGATGCTGTAAACAGTGTGTCCCATACATTTCAGCATCCACGCCGGTGAGCAGACCCATCGCCCTCCACTTTCATCTTCTCGCTCCCAAGGTCCACAATCCCTCCACCTGGGACAGACAGGGTCCATTTTCAAACTGCTCACTGCGCTCCTTCTCTTACCAAAAGTCACCAAAGGGAAACTCAGGCCTGAAAGATACTCCTGTCTTCCTACCTGGCAGAGGAGTATTTACTGTTGCATTGGAAATGATCAACGGTTCCTCACACGGAAACAAAACTGGAGAGAGAAACTGAAGAGCCAGCTGGGACAGTAACTGGGAGACTGAGCTGGGTCAGTCACCCACAGGCCCGGCTGTCCCCTCCCCTTTGCGATGATGTCATTGTCTCGAGATAACCTGCATGAGCAGCAGTCTGGTTCATTTCAGCTACATGGATGTGACTTCATTACATGATGCAAGCTTTTCAAATTGCTCCCAGTTGCATGCTCTCCTTTTTTCCTAACCCTAGTTGTCTGTATTTGAACCAAGTGAACAATTAAAAAAAAAAAAAGATAGCAGATATCAAAGGCATGTTAGAACGGCATCCTGAACCAATTAATTAAGAGCGTGGATCCTACCTCTCATATCTGAGGATCTATTACAGCAAGATTTGCTTCAGGATGGAGCATGAGTACCTCAATTATGGGTCATGAGCGCCTCAATTATAGCTGATTGGTTTTGGATTGGAAGCCTTTCCTATCTTGGTGGGCAACAGAAAAAAAAATACAAAAAAGAAACTTGTTTATGAAAACCTCTCAATGCTACCCAAATTTTACTATAATTTATAAGCTCTAACCTGATTTGATATCAAAACTTTGTTTGGTGTTGCGTAAACAGGGTTTAGGAAAGTTTTTCCAATCAGCTCCTGTCATTGCCTCTGTGACAACTCCATATTTACTCCGTGTTCATGTGACTCTCTATGTCAGAGGTTCATAAACAGGCTGACCATGCCTTGCAGTTGAATTACAAAAAGAATTATGCATATATTGTCTAACACAGAGAGCTTTCTTAGTGGAGATAGTTTAAGAAGGGGGATTATTTTCTGAATTTTCTTTCTCAGATATAAAGTCTTCCCGGTTTCACTGCAAGGAGAAAACATAGCTAACAGTGCTACTGCATTATTAGAGAATTCATATCTGTTGGGGCTTTTCAACAATATCCTTGGGACAGATTTTTGAATTTGTTTCAATCTTGATTACAGTCTACACAATGAACAAAAAATATTTCTACACAATGGCAAATCCTAACTGAAAATAATATTGTTTTAGTTTGGGGGAATTTTTTTTTTTTCAATAAAGCTTCCTACTTTGTATTTTGAAAGAAAAAAAATGTACTAGAGAGTTAGTGTCTTTCTCATAACAAATCACATTTTCATCTGAGACAATGTAGGGGCACAATGACAAAGATATGGGCAAAAAAGCCTTTTAGTTACGTGTCATGCGTTTCTAGAATGGATCGGTGTCACAGTCAATCCATCATAGAAATTGGGTGTTTTTTCTTCTCCAGGTCTCCCGTCACATTTTAGTTTCCAGGAATCTAACAATCTAGCCAACGGCTGTGGTTAAGTGGAGGTGCTTGGAGGGGAGACCGCCTGGGCCAGTCCTCAATCAGTCCCTTAGTAGCTGTGACCTTGGCAAGCGACTCAACCTTCCCGAGCCTCAGTTTCCTCACCTATAAAAGAGTGACACTATTTCTTCCATGGTAAAATTGTTGTGAAATTGAGACAATGTGTATAAGGGCTTCACTCACTGCCAAAAATATGGTAATTGCACTATATTTAGTATTAAATTGGCCAGGTTTTTATAATAGGAGAGCGAGTCTCTGCTGCTTATAGCAATCTGGCTATGAAAAAAAAAAAGGAAAAAAAAGCCTTTTAAAATGTGGGAATCCCATTTTCTCCCCCCAGGATAAGACCCTCAGCCACCCAGTACGTGNAAAAAAAAAAAAAAAGGAAAAAAAAGCCTTTTAAAATGTGGGAATCCCATTTTCTCCCCCCAGGATAAGACCCTCAGCCACCCAGTACGTGGTTACTGACCTCTTCCAACACCCAGTCAATGTGTTATTACTGGTCTTTCAAACACGTCCAAGCTTCTCTCCTCTGATACGCACACTCCCTCAGTGGTCTGAGCCCTCCATCCCTCCATGGGCAGGACTTTCTCCCAGTGTTTTCTTTTATTTTCACTCTACCCTAATGACCATCCTCAAATCCAAATTTATGATCACGGAACTATTATTGTTGTAAATCAAATCCCAAAGAAAAACAGCGTCAGGCGATTTCTTTTCACTTAATGTATTATCAAACAATATAAGACATAGGTCTAACCAAACACGCGTCCTCGGTCTGTGAAGACATGCCCCTCGGTTGACCTGCAAATTTGGTTTCATATCACCGGCCCCTCTAAGGAAAAGAAACAGAGTAAGAACAGAGTGTCCCTGCTGCTTACCTCTGAAGAACCTCCCTTGCGTGGTGGAGATGTGTTCAACTGTGAGAGGTTTTTTTAAGCTGATGTTTTTAGCAAGTTTCTTATTCTTAAATTATCTCACTTTAAGGGTGAGATAGATGAAAATATTCAGCTTTCGAAGTTCATAGGTATCAGTTATCTACTGCTATATAAAAAAAGCCCCCAAACACAGTGACTTAAAGGGAGGATGATTTTATTCCTTTTATCTGCTAATTATCCTGGGGGTCAGCCACGTGGGCTGGGCTCAGCTGAGAAGTTCTGCTTATGTCACTTGGGGTCATTTACGAAACGTCAGCCATCCAGTGACTAAACTGGGGCCTTTTGGACTGATGTGGCCTCACTGACACCTCTGGAGATGAGTGGTCACAGTCAGGAGGGCCACGTGTCTCCAGCAGGATGGTCTGGGCTGGTGGCGAGGTCCCAAGAGCTCAACAGCAGAAGCTGCAGGACCTCCTGAGACAGGTTCATGGCCACCACCTGTGCTTCACCGTGTTGGTCAAGGCAAGTCAGGTGGCCAAGCGCAGAGTCGCATACACGGAGACAATTATAGCGGCCAGGCTGTCGACAGTCTACCCTAACACATAAACCTTTATGACGATAGACTAGCTGGCTCTCTTTTACTCTATTCTGGGCCCCAGGTGCTCAAGAAGGGATACATGTGGCTGGTGCTCTAAGGGCTCATCTCTGCAGAGAGGAAAGGTGGTGGCCCTCCTGGGTGGTGAGCTGCTCAGTGACCCTGTGATGAGGTGACCTGTGTTCGGCTGAGCTGATGAGCCTGGCCAGGTAATCCAGAGATGTGTGCCATCCATCGCCAAACGCACTGAGCTCGAAGGCTTCTGTGTGTGGTTTATAAACCCAACCTCGTCACAACAGTATTATGGAGCAAGCAAGTCAGGAAGGATTTTTTGCTGAGACTAAGTTAATTACACTGTTATCACATTTGAGTGACAGCATGGGTTTTTTATCCCATTTGAGGCAGATTAGGGTCATGGTTAAGAGCTTAGCTATGCAAAATGATAATAGTAATAATATCTCAATATCCTCACTGTAAAATAGAGGCTATACGGTAGTCATACAATTATACTGTGAACAGAGAAAAGAAAATGTAAAGTGTGTAAAAATCTTAGGTTTCATATCTAACAGTGTCATTTAATAACTAAGAAAGGAAAAGAACTCTCTTAAAGAAATGTCTGAGCAAAGATCCAAAATTTAAACTCACTCAAGTGTCCACAGTTTCTCTCCTTTGCCCTCTACTCTTTAAGGATCTCGGAAAACTAAACAAACATTAATATAAGAAGATTGCAGATGTAGCCTAATGGTTGAAATTAGGAATTAACTTTCTTTCCTTGAAACAATTTTTTTTACCACACACCACACGAAGAAAAGTGGGTGTTTTTGTGTGTGTGTGTNGAACTATTATTGTTGTAAATCAAATCCCAAAGAAAAACAGCGTCAGGCGATTTCTTTTCACTTAATGTATTATCAAACAATATAAGACATAGGTCTAACCAAACACGCGTCCTCGGTCTGTGAAGACATGCCCCTCGGTTGACCTGCAAATTTGGTTTCATATCACCGGCCCCTCTAAGGAAAAGAAACAGAGTAAGAACAGAGTGTCCCTGCTGCTTACCTCTGAAGAACCTCCCTTGCGTGGTGGAGATGTGTTCAACTGTGAGAGGTTTTTTTAAGCTGATGTTTTTAGCAAGTTTCTTATTCTTAAATTATCTCACTTTAAGGGTGAGATAGATGAAAATATTCAGCTTTCGAAGTTCATAGGTATCAGTTATCTACTGCTATATAAAAAAAGCCCCCAAACACAGTGACTTAAAGGGAGGATGATTTTATTCCTTTTATCTGCTA